ATTTTTTCTCAAGTTGTGATTGGAGTTGATCGACATCGGTCGACCAATCAGCAACTGTTTTTTTGTAAATGACGATATTTGCGTTCGGGATATATCTTGACTCTTTAATATCGTTAATGTAAAACGCAAGTAAACAATGATCCGTAAGATAACATGCCATTCTATGAATAGCTAGTATGGTGTCATCCAATATCAAAAGCTACGTGCAAAATATGTGATTAAGAATCTATACTGAAGATGTAGATTTGCATTTTTACATGTTTAAATAACAGATTAACATAACTCAATACCTTCTTGTTAATTATTCTTTAAAAACATTTTTTTTTTAATACGCTTTTTATTTCTGTCGATGACGCAATCTGTGCGTACCTGGTAAGAATCATGATCACGTGACAAAAACAATCCCGTCTTTTTTCAGCACCCTATGCCAAGGGTTTATGAGGAGAGTAGCGTATCAGAAACCCTTGGCTAGCGAAGATGAATAGTGTTATATAAAAGAAAACATTAGCAAATGTAAATATTTGGTGTTAAAATTAGGATGGTATATTTACTCTTGCTATCTATTGGAAGTATATTTTAACTGGTATATTTTCTTGAAAAATTTTTGTGAAGGGAAGGAAAATAGAGTTTTATAGAATGCAAATTTACTACAAATGTATTATCACAAAGTGAAAATAACTTTTGTTGTTAGCATGATAAGAAGGTCTGTAAATATATTACTTTCTTATGAATAAATTGTTGAAAATTAAAAACCAGAAGTCTCTGATGAGACTGTAGCTCTACTGGTCTGTTTGTATAACAAAAGAAAAGTAGCACTTGGATTTGAAACATTGCAACATGCAACAATAAATAGAATTATGTATCTTAATGTAGTCTACTTTTGTGACAAGTTATTGAAATCAAATGAAAACTAGGAGTAGTAGCGTTTTGAAAGTATTTCACGGTAATTTCTATTTTTAGTACCGGTAACCATGACAACACCATTCACCCAAATAAAAAAAAACAGAAATACATATTATGTATCGTAGTGTATTCTAACTGTGTGCCAAATTAGATTGAAATCAGACCAAAATTGTAGGAGGAGTAACGTTTTAAAGGAATTTCACAGACATTTCTATTTTAAGTAACCATGGCAACACTGTTCATCGAATTAAAAAAAATGCAATAAATTATGTATCTTAGTATAGTCTTCTTGTATGCCTAATTATATTAGAAGCAGACTAAAACTGTAGCAGGAGTAATGTTTTAAAGGAATTTCACAGAAATTCCTATTTTTAGTAACCATGGCAACACCGTCCATCGAAATCAAAAACCGATGCACTAAATTATGTATCTTATTGTAGTCTACTTGTGTGCCAAGTTATATTGAAATCGGACCAAAACTGTAGGAGGAGTAGCGTTTTAAAGAAATTTCACAGAAATTTCTATTTTTTAGTAACCATGGCAACACCGTCCATCGAAATCAAAAACCGATGCACTAAATTATGTATCTTAGTGTAGTCTACTTGTGTGCCAAGTTATATTGAAATCGGACCAAAACTGTAGGAGGAGTAGCGTTTTAAAGGAATTTCACAGAAATTTCTATTTTTAGTAACCATGGCAACACCGTCCATCGAAATCAAAAACCGATGCACTAAATAATGTATCTTAAAGTAGTCTACTTGTGTGCCAAGTTATATTGAAATCGGATCAAAACTGTAGGAGGAGTAGCGTTTTAAAGAAATTTCACAGAAATTTCTATTTTTAGTAACCATGGCAACACCGTCCATCGAAATCAAAAACCGATGCACTAAATTATGTATCTTAGTGTAGTCTACTTGTGTGCCAAGTTATATTGAAATCGGACCAAAACTGTAGGAGGAGTAGCGTTTTAAAGGAATTTCACAGAAATTTCTATTTTTAGTAACCATGACAACACCGTCCATCGAAATCAAAAACCGATGCACTAAATTATGTATCTTATTGTAGTCTACTTGTGTGCCAAGTTATATTGAAATCGGACCAAAACTGTAGGAGGAGTAGTGTTTTAAAGGAATTTCACAGAAATTTCTATTTTTAGTAACCATGGCAACACCGTCCATCGAAATCAAAAACCGATGCACTAAATTATATATCTTAGTGTAGTCTACTTGTGTGCCAAGTTATATTGAAATCGGATCAAAACTGTAGGAGGAGTAGCGTTTTGAAAAATTGTTTACAGACAGACGGACAGACAGACAGACAGACAGACAGACAGACAGACAGACGGACGGACGACGGACACCTTACTATCGCATAAGCTCTTCTGGTCTCTGACCAGTAGAGCTAAAAATAAAATATATAATTTTCATGTTTTACAGCACCTTTAAGCAGGAATAAAATACTGTTAAATGAGTATCTTTTTAAAGCAATTAAGAAAGAAAATTGATAATTTCAAAAGTTTCTCAGATATTTGCATCCTAAACACATGCAGTTGAACTTAGGTATCTCAAACACTGATCAGTGTTGATAGCTGGAATATCATGGATATAACATTGAAGTTAAAATTCAGAAGTGCCAACTATTTTTTTTTTAATTACGTTTTTAACTTCAATATCTTCAACCCTCGGACATCTCGAAGTTTTAAATCTTGGTCCAATTGAGTTCATTAGATAACGAAGTGTGGCTGTATTTTCTATCTATTCATGCAGGCTTAATTAAGGAGGTGTCTTGTACCTCGGTAAAGAAATAATCCTGTATATTTTCTAAATGTTGTATTTTCTTGAACTTTCACAATATTAATGCAAAGCAGTTCTAAAATTTTAGAGAGTAAATAAGGCTATAAAGACAACTTACTGATTTAACAAATGTTTAATGCCCTTATTTGTTTTTTGTTTTGTTTGTTTATTGTTTTGTTTGTAATAAATGTATCTGATAAACTTTATGAACTAATCACTGATTACTTGCATATATTAAAAAATCAGCACTGAGAACAACTTCAAACAAAAAAGTATTTGCACTTGCTACACGTAGCATCGATAATTGACAATTATTGAGTGAATTGTTGCATCTGTCAAATTTTTAAGTTTCGCATCAGTTAAACTGCACTCTATCTTGCTTTAATTAAATTCTCGTGGCTTGGACCAATTCTCTTTACCAAGAAATATCCATCTTTATCAGGACATTTTTTAATCTTTTGATTTAAGGAGGTTGGATCCTGCCACCAAAAGTAATGAGAATTTTTTATCAAGTATATTTTAAGAATTTATACACATAGCTTAATTAAAAATCAAAACAAAACCTGGGGGTCAATGCGCTTCTTTTGGCGGTACAGAGCATTTAGTTTGACCTTTTTGCACTGTAAATACGTCTTACACATAATCAATTTTTAAAGTTTTTCCTCCAATATTTTTTATTCAAATAAATTATGGGAACAAACACAGCCTTATTTCTTCTCGAATAGACACATTAAAATTTGTCACAACAAAAAAAATTTCAAATTACTCCGCATGTTCAATTATTTGACCTTTTTGCACCCAAAAAATTTCATTTTTCTGGCATTAAACATTTAACAAGCAAAAAAATAATTTGAAAGTAATGACATTTTACTGAATTTAAGAAGAATGGTTAAAAGTATCTTATATATTCAGAAAATAAAATAAAAAGTGGGGGTCTGTGATGTAAATTTTTAGATATTACTAAAATAGTGCTAATTTTAAGCTTAAAATAGGGATATTTTTTTCTTGATTTTCACAATATATTTGCTATATTTATGAAATATGATGATAGAATCTATGACAGTTTATTTGATATACAATTTAGGACCAGTATAAAACAGTTCACTGTACAAAATAACTTTGTGTGCAGGCTGCATGGAAAAATAGGAACCCAAACTTAACATACTTTAAACACTTCGAAAGAGAAAAAATGATCATTTTCTTCTAAAAAACCTTCCGCCACAAAATATAGTTCCTGACTTATTGCTTTTGGTATGGAATTTAATCATGGAGTTTTAACTAAATATAGTTTAATTGGCATTGTAGAATCCAAATTTATTGTAAGAATTAAAACTTTATGCAGAATTTTTAAAATATAGGTTAAGATATAAATCTGATCAAAAGCTCAGGAGCGAACCTCGTTAATTATTAGAAACTTGTCTAATTGCCTCAATTAGAATAACAGTTATCTTGGCATTAATTTATTATTTTAATAAAAATATCTATGAGATTTTAAGGATTTTTTTGTAAAAGGTCCCTGCAGAGTTCACTTTTCTAAGATATTACTGATTCAGATCCTTGTTTTCAATACTACACCAGTTTTTGATAGCTATCAATAATAATTTAGATAAATATTGATCTAACCACATCTTTATCACTTGAATTATCAATTGAATATAAACGATATCAACCTGATGAAAGGTGTCAAACATGTTTTCAATATCTATTTACTTATTTTTTAAGAGAATCTCATGGATTTTCCCACACTAACTTCGTTTCTCTCTCTCTTTTATTGGATCAATTTTTTTTTTAAGCCATATTGCACTTTATGAAACAACAAGCAATAAAATCCCATTTTTATCCAATAAAACCACACTAGATATCTTATGAGTTTAATATAAATCATAAATTCTGCATCTGTTAATTTATTTCAATGGATACCACTGATTTATCATAGTTTGGAGAATTTTTTTGTCATTCTATCTTCTCATAAAAGTTGTTCAAGCAGCTAATAAACAGAATATATCTGTTTATTTTCATATTTCAATTTAATTCAACGCATATCACAGTGTTTTTTTTTTATTGTTTTGTTTTTGTTTTTTTGAATTTTTTTTTTCAAATGAATATCAATTTCATGGCAAGAAGCAGAATTCTCAAAAGGGTAAAACCTGTATTTGAACGCTCTAAAACATTAGGTATCACATAATTAAAAATGCCATTGCCATGATAAAAATTTGTACACATGGACCGAACTGGAATGTTTCTTTCCCTTTGAAATCAATGTCTATCAAACTGTAACTTAAAGCACCTGTTCTCCCACCTTACCTTAGTTATCACCAGTTTTCTGACATCACATTGTCCTTCTTGGCATTGATCCCCTAACCCTGCAGAATATGGTCTAACCACTGTTTCTTTAGACTGTTTATCATCACCACCATGCTCCTGAAATTGCTGCTTACTTACAATATAGTTTGGAAAATGTCTGATTTTTTCTGCCTCTGAATTAAAATTCTGTTCATCACATTGTGCTAGATTTTTTATACAGGCATAATGTTTTCCTTGTTCTCTGCAATCTTTAACAAGATCAAGAGATCTACTAGAAGTTGGTTGACTTTCTTTGATTATTTGTGCATTGAGCTCATTTGATGAAACAAGTGTGTGATCCACTGTCTCCAAGTTTTTCTGTGTCTGGGCCCCATCTCTGAAAACTCCATTGTCCTTTTTGTGTTCAAATATCCTCTCTAAACCATTAGATGATGCTTGAGCATTTTTTGACTGCAAGTGTGCAAATTTTCCCTTGGGATTCTGCAACCTGTGGTTTGAGATCTCAGCTAAGCTTCCTTCTACATTTTGCAAACCTTGGATAGAGTGACCTTCCTTGGAATTTTGCAATCCTTGTGAGGAACGGTTTCCAAGATTTTTTGTGAATTCAAGATTTGCGGCTCTTAGTCCTTGCAATTCCGAACAGGTAGCATTTCTCAAGTTACTAAAGCATTGAGTGTCTCCAGCATACTGGCGACTGTAGGCTTGTGGTGCTACAACACAGGAATGAGTCACCCTCTCTCTATTGCTGCTTCCATCTCCTGATATTGGTAAAACATCTTCAGAAACATGGGGTGATTCATCGTGACAATTTGCTTTATCAGCAGTGCAAGGAAAAAGTCCTCTTTTGTAAACAGTTCCATCCGTGCTGCTGGCAAAGCCCCGAGATTCCCCACCAACCTCCAGATCATTGCTCAAATGAGACACGAGTCCATAAATCTCGCTCGAGCCCTCAGTTTTTGGGTCAGAACTAGTCTGAGCTACACTCTTGCTGTTATTGTTATTTAGGTTACTAGGCAACACTTGGACTTCCTTAGCTTCAGCGGTTTTCTGTCCATTATTGATGGTCCACTGACCAGTGCTAGTGTATTGTGGGATTGATTTGACCGTGCTCTGCTGACCAGTCTTAGCTGGAGTGAGTTGTTTGGTTACAGGACAGATATTCTCCTTACATTCATCATCTTCCTCAGAATCCTCCACAGTAGTGAATAACGTCCTCTGGACATTGTCCTACAAAGACATCAAAGTCAAAAATAAAACTCATCTGTACCTGTAATTTACATGGAAATCTAAAGTTTACTTTTACATGTATTTGATCTTTGGAAATCAAAAAGAACCAAATAAAAGTCAACAACATACACAAAACATACCAATTTAAATCAAATTAACTGGCCAATTAACATGCTTTGTTAGGACAAAACAGAACTGTTTTTTTTTCTAACTTTATTTTCAGAAAAACAGCTTTCCAAACCTGATCAATACACTGAATGAAAAACAATGCCCATCGGTGCTTATCTCATGTAACAAGTACCTTTTAATAAAGTTCCAACAACAGCATCCGACCAGAAAACAACTTTATCAATAAAATCACCCTACTGCAAAAATCTGTCCCCGTTATCATTCAGTTTTCCGTTCCATAATTTCTTACTGAGATTTTTGCACATCATTCATGAATAACAGTCATTCAGAGAGAACATTAAACAACAATTTCCCTGTAATGCGTACAGGACACCAGCAGGATCATCATTTGATAATTCACAAAGGAGAGCGTGTGCCTAGAAATTAAAGTACTGCAGCATTGCAGCAGACATTTATCCATATTAATGATTATAACTTTGATTTTATTAATGTTTGGGATTGTAAATGTTTATTATTGAATTTTTTTTCTAAATTTTTTAAAATGAACTTTCAATTAATTAAATGATTTAATTTAATCCCCTTCCTTAAAAAAAAATCATGTTTCTCACCCTTCTAATATTCTTCAAGTGTCAAGGTTAAAAAATTATTGAGAGACAGACAGACTTAACAGAGTATATTTCCCTTCCTTCAATCTAGTACTGACTCCCCCCCAAAAATCCTTTTATTTTATTCAATAAAGTTGTTGACAAACAGACAGACACACTATAAAGCATACATTTCCCCATCTTCCTATCAATGATATAAAAAAAAATTTCTTTATTTGATTCAATTAAGGACCCAGAACATAATAAATACTGATTTGTGGTTGATATGTGAGCTTGCCCTGATTTCTTCCTGGTCGAGCTATCAGAGAGAACAATGAGTCATATCTACTATTGAATGCAAGGACAAGTCTACAATTTCTGATCTCCAGTGGATAACAATTGCTCTCATTTGACTTTCATTGTCATATCTAATAAAGCTGTTGGGAGAGAGAGAGAGAGAGAGAGAGAGAGTGCAAAGGGGGTCCCTAGGCTACATCACTCACATTGCAGCTGCATATATTTATTCATCATTTACATTTTTTTCTTAGAATACTTAATTCTGAGAAATTTGTGCTTTTGTTTTTTTTGCTCATCAAAATGGCAGATGAAAAAAGCATCAGGGATTTTTTTAGGGTCTCTCTGGGGCCGAAATCCGGCCCCATTCCCAACACTGAAAAGTGCATGTTTTCCCAAAATTATACCTAAAAATTCCCAATATGAAAAAAGTATAAAGTTGTAAATTATTGAAATACAATAATGACAAAAAGGCATTTATGTTCTCTATGTGCGATGTATGAGCCATCCGAGGAGTTCCGAGAAGTTATTCGGAATACTACGGAAGTTTGCATGCATACTTTTTAAAGCGGGATCTATGTTTGAAAATTAAAGTCGGGATCTTTATTTAATAAATAAATGTGCATCCTGTCAGTCTCTCCAGTTTGACGGTAATTTTCAGGCTGGGTTGGGTCGCCCTTATTCTTATAAATTGGTCAAATAATACCGATTAACCACTCATCTGGAACAAACCCACTATCAAATGTTATTTTAAAGAACTTCTTACATAAAGGTAAAAAAGATGACAATGTATAAATATGTTCATTTACAATGTTATCATACCCTGCAACTTTGCCATTTTTAAGCTTCTGAACTTCAACAGCTGCTATTATTTCATATCACTGAAGCTGGTTCAAGCCAGCTTCATACTATAAAAAATAAGAAAAATGATTAAATATTTGACTTTTGCTTGTTTTTTCCTATTTTAATTTGCATGAAGATATTTTTCCCAATTTCAACCAAATATCGCTATTTTTCCCAATCTTGACGGCCCCTGGAATCAAAGGGTAAAAAAATCCCTGAGCATAGGCACTTGATGTTATGTATATGAACAGTATTTCATTAAAAAAATTATTATCAACTACATTTTTTCCCAGAATAATTACTTTGAGATATTCATAGTTTAGTATTTTTGTTTATCAAATTGAGGGATAGGGTTGAATAATATTATCGGTAAGGATGAAAGATAGAGTTGGATACCATGAAAGATGAAACAGTATGATACTATACCTTTAATTTTTGATATGATTTTGTAACATAAGACAGACAGACGGATGCTGGACAATGGGTGATTAGAAAAGCTCACTTGAGCTTTCAGCTTAGGACAAAATTGTCATATCATAATAATTAAGTCCTGTCATTGGGAGGGTGTATTAAAATAAATAAAACACATGCAAGATTTAAACCTACAATCCCCAGATCCCAAGCTAATGATCTTACTGCTTGAGCTATTCAGAAAGAAAGAAAGATAGAAAAAGGAAGTACATCACATAATGGAGGTCAGAGGTTCCCTTTCTCCATAACCTTACATTTTTTCTTAACTCCCAATTTACTCATGTCCATAGTCAGGCACACTGTTGCTTACTGGTACTTATTATTTTTTTTTTTTAATTCCAAAATGGATCCACCAGCAATAGTTATCTAAAAGTTTCACCAAAAACATTTATAATAAGAAAAATCTTTTATCAACCTACCCTTTTTTTTTGAAAAGGAGGGGGGGGGGGGGCATGAGACAGAAAAACATTAAATTATATACATTTTTTGCATTCTGCTGTATTTTTCCATCATACTCAATAATGCACACTTCTAAAACAGAAAAAGTCCTCCACATATAATCCTCTATTGCTCTAACACTGTAATACATTGAAGACTGTTGGTCTCCGACAGCAGGCTCTGACTCAGTGTTTGTCAAAGGAAACAGGCTCAAGTTATCTGCACTCAAAGACTCAGTTCTAAACGAGATCAGGGGATTATTATAACAGGAGTCCTATGTTGACCCGTGCAGTGATATAGCTAAATGAACATGCTTTTAGTTATCAGACTGACATTATTTACGTTTAGTCACTAAGTCTCAGAAACTGCACTCAGTGCCCTTCTGAATCCAGTTAAATTCTTTTAACTTGGCTTAACATCAAAAATAAACTCAGAGCCTAATTTGCAAGACTGACACGGTCTCATAAATATTCTAGGCTTTGACAAGATAATCTATTGTGAATCTCAACAGCAATCTCAAACTTGAATTTTGAACTCTAAGTTGACATGAAGACCTGATCATGGCCTTATGCAAGATAAAATTTTATGCAAGATTTAAGACTGTGGGCCGGAATTATAACAGATCAAAAACAATATACTCTTGGGGTCACAAATTAAGTGATCCCAGGGCTCAATAACCTTTGCATCAAGGTCGGGTAAAAAGACCCTGTCCAATACTTCCATTAGAAAAGTGCATCACTACATTTGCAGATGACTCCATGTTGATTCAAAAGCCTCCTTTCAACTGAACATTATTATTAGGTACAGGCATTTAAAAAAAAAATAAGAAGACTTAACTAAAAGGAATTTTTGTTTGGCTTGAAAATTGCTGAAGGAATTGACTTCCAGCAAATAAAAAAAATTCTTATTCCCATTTGACAAAATTATTACAATGTATTACATTTGACTCTTCAAGACAAGGAGGAAAGAATGGTAGATGAGTTCAACGACTTTTACCTCTTACAAGATGGCAGGGGAAAATCTGAAAATCTTGCAGAATTTATATCACAATCAATTACTGCAGTCAAATGAAAATGAAAAATTGTCAGAGGGTCCATAAGGGCTTGAGAGACCTAATAAAAATACTCCATAAGCAGCATTGTATATTCTCCGAGTTCCAGAGCAAACTTCAAATCCAAGGCTAAAGTCAAAAATAGATGTGCAAGAGTTCCTGAGAACATGACAGGTCACAATTAGTGATTTTCTTCTCACTGTTCTCTGATTTCCCCTGGTGGACAACCGGTGACATACAAAGTGTACAGCAGGAATACAGATTCCTGCCAATAAGGCTAAAATTGTATTTCTAACTGAAAAAAAAGAAACTTTGTCACTCAGATATGGTAAACAAAGACAAGATACATTATTGCTTTTAAACTGTGTTATGAAACGTAGAGATATGTCTGATTAAAAATGGACAAAAATTAAAGATTGTAATCTTTGTAATCTTCTGCAATTTTAACACCAGCAACACATGCACCCATGCATATGCAATAAAAAAAAAAAACAAAAAAAAAACATACTGCTGATAGACAAACAAGTTAAAGCAATGCAACCACAAAATGCAGTTCCTCTTTTTCCAGAAAAAATTAAAAAAAAATCAATCTAGCAGAAATCAATGTTGCACCTTGAGATTAATTAGACGTAGTGTGAACCATCTGTTAAAAGTACAATTTCCCTGATAACCAGGCTTTGTGTTACAGAAAAATTGGTCCCAATGGTTTAACAAAGCCAAGATTCCTTAGACATTCTATTAAATGCTTAATCTGATGCTTGCATTCGTCAAAGAAGTAAAAATTCTTTCAAAAATTGGGTGTTGCGATATCATTGCAAAATCTAACTGCATGATTATCTGAAATGTTGGGGGGGGGGGGGGGGGAGGGGGGATTAATTACATTTATAAGACCATCTTTATCTAAACTCTCTTCTAATTAAAAATCTCTTTTGCATCAAAACTTACAAAAAATACCTGGCTCTCTTATTTCATCTTCCAGGAGCACCTTCAAGTACTGGACATTGGTCAAAAGCCTGATTTTTTTTTTGCAAAACATAGATGCTCACACAATAAATTGATATAATATCCACAACAAAATGAATACCAATTACTAACCTTAGCCTTTGAACTTTTGACCCTGGGATCAAATGGTTTCTTTAGCTTGGCAAAATGCCTTTCTGAATGAAGTTGAGACTGACAAGTTATGTAAT